CAGATTTACAAAGAGAAGGAGAGGCATTGAGAAAGATCTTCCATCCGTTGGTTTATCTCCTCAAGTGGCTGCAACAGCTAGAGTTGAGCTGATATGAAGCCAGGAGCTTCTTCTGGGTCTCCCATGTGGGCGTAAGTTCCCAAGGCTTTGGGCCATCCTTCTCTGCCCTCCTAGACTACAAACAGGGAACTGGAAGAATTTTGTTCTTATTGGAAAGAAAGATAATACAGAGAGTAGGAGAGACAGAGAGGAAGATCTTCCATCCATTGGTTTACTCCCCAAGTGGTCGCTACAGCCAGAGCTGCGCTGATCTGAAGCCTCGAGCCTGGAGCCTCTTCCGGGTCTCCCAGGAGGATGCAGGGTTGCCCAAGGCTCATCCTTGACTGCTTTCCCAGACCACAAGCAGGGAACTGGATGGGAAGCAGGGCTGCTGGGACTATGGGCTGCAGTACCCATATGGGATTCTTCACATACAAGGTGAGGAGTTTAGCTGCTAGTGCCCTGGGCCTGCTACGGTGCAATCTTAATGGGAGTAACTGAGCACTGATTGAGAGGGTATCTTATGGGTCCAGCATAATGGCTCAAGTGGCTAATTCTCCTTCAAGTGCTGGGATCCCGTATGGGTGCCGGTTCATGTCCCAGCTACTTCTCTTCCCATCCTGCTTCCTGCTTGTGTTCTGGGAAAGCAGTGGAGGATAGCCCAAGACCTTGGGACCCTTCAGTCACATGGAAGATCTGGTGAAAGTTTCTGGCTGCTGGCTCCAGATCAACTCAGCTTAAGTCATCATAACCATTTGGGGGGTGAGCCAGCATATGGATGATCTATCTTTCTCTCTGTAAATCTGTCTCTACAATAAAAATTAAAAGTCTTTAATAAAAAAGAGCCCTTCAGCAAACAACTGTTACTTAAAAAAAGAAAGAGGACATCATAGAATTGTGCTTTTAAAGTTTATTTGAAAGGTAGAGTTAGAGAGCTTCCATCCACTAGTTCACTCAAGGGCCAGGACCAGGCTAGACAGATGCTGGAGACCGGAGCTTCATCTGGGACTTCAGTGTGGGTACATTGGGTCATCTTCTGCTTCCCCAGGCATGTAACAAGGGAGCTAGATTGAAAGTGGAGCAGCTGGGACTTGAATTTGTGCTGATATGGGATGCTGGCATTGTGGACAGTGATTTTACTCGATACACCAGAACATCGGCCACTATGTTTGTATTTTAAAATCTGGAAGCATCTGCAGATGTTAGTTACTTGATAGAGGGTGCAGGTGGTTTCTCAAAGACTTGAGATTTTACTAGAGGAGAGGAGGCACATTGGGGTGTTTCCATGATGTGATTAAAAATGATATCTATATGGCCTTGGAGCCTATAATGTGTGAGTCCGGGAGATCAGTGGAGGGGAAGCTATATGTCTGGGATGACCTCTGAGCTGGGATTGGGAAGGCTGGCCATTAAGGTAGATGGCATGGACGAAACATCTGATTAGTGAGTGTTGGAGAGAGAAGGCCTTTTAAGCACAGGGAACAGGGTAAGAAAAGGTGCAGATTTGGAAGTGTGTCAGGCTTTTGCATACCATCATGGTCACTGTGTTGCACTGGATTTGTACCCTGGCCAGTGGAAAACCAGTGAATGATGTCAAGGTCAAAATTAAGCTTTCGGATGAATGTTAAACTGGTGGAATGGGAAGAGACTGGGAGACCACTAGGAAATACATGAACACTTAATGGGTTTACCTCCTGATTTGATTTGAAGAATAAATGAGGTACACGGTGGGGGAGAAATGACTGGACATGTGATAATCCAGGTTCCAAGCTCCCCAGGCCCATGCTGCAACTGGGCACCCTGACACAGTGGCCACAAGCCAGGCTGCACTGTCACCCTGTGCGGCCATGCAGGGCTGCAGTCCCTGCACCCTCTGCTGTCCCCTTCCCTTCACTCCTGAGGCAGCACCTTTGCCTGACTGCCTCTTGACTTCCTTGATTTTATCTCCCAGTTCTGTCCTGGGAATATTTTGTACCTGGGGCATGATCTGTTTCTTTTCCTAGATTGTCCTTAACTATTCCCAGGAAGGTGTCTGCTTTCTGGCTACTTAGAGAAAGCACCTGTTCAGACCACACCCTTCTTCATAATGTCAAAAGCCCAGTCTCTGGACCTCTGCACTCCAGAGAGGAGTGTGCAAGGAGGCCATGCGTGGATTTCAGGTTCAAATTTTGGTGCTTCCCTTGACTAGCTTGGGTAGAAGATTCTTGAACTACTCTGAGCTTTGATTTCCTCACAGGGAAAAGAAGATAGGAAGGTTGTATGAGGTTGTAATGGAAAGGATTGGTTGCTATCCTGGGGGCACTGGATACCCACTATCCTGCCTTCAGACCTTCCTTTCCAGATGAAGAAAACTTTCCCATGATCTCATTGCCTTGGTCTTCCCTCAGTTAGTTTTGTTCTTGGCATAAGTATTGGTATAAGGTGTTTACTCACCTGCAGACTGCCTGCCCTGTCTCTCTTGTGTACCTGCTGCTGCTTGTGAGCCTTGGTAGGGGGTGCCATAGGACAGAGTCACGGTGATGCCAGCACAGCGTGGAGGTAGCCCTGAGGTTCTGGGTCATCCTATGTTTGTTGTTGGAAAGGTAGAGAAACAGGCAACCAGCCAGAGCTAACCACTGGTTCACTTCCAGATGCCCACCGTGGTCCAAGTTGGACCACAACTGCAGCTGAAATCTGCACACAATCTTGTTCTCCACACTAGTGACAGGAGCCCAAAGAGTTGAGCCTTGACTGCTGCCTCCCAGGGCCTGAGCTGGGTATCAAGGCTAGGTGGCTCCATTTATTGTCAGCGAACATCATTTAACTCCCTGCCAAATACCCTCTCCTCTATTTCTTATAAAATGTAAGAAATCAAATCCCGTTAAGGATGAGAGAAAAGACCTTGAAATGTCTTACCCATCCCCTACTCTTATTTAAACCGTTGCTGGGTGCTGAGACTCACCCCTACTTATTGTTTGGTGACTTTTCATGATGCTTGTCCCCATGGACTCTTACTTTCTTCTTAAGTAATCCTGTGTTTCCAGAGTGTTCCCTTTCTGAACTGCAAAGTGACTGAGTAGAACAGAGATCTTCATCTGCTAATCAATTTCCCAAAGCCAGGAGCCGGAAACTCCATTTGGGCTTCCCATGTAGGTTGCAGGAACCCAAGTACTGGTACCATCATTTGCTGCCCCTCAGGCACAACAGCATGATGTTTCGGTATGGGATGCAAGTGTCCCAAGTGGAAGCTTAACCCACTCTACCACACCATCCCCACAAGACTCTTGATTGATGTCTGTGAACATCAGGGCACCTGCTGATGAAGGAGCTGTGCTCAGGCCTTGTCTACTTCTCTCTTCTCTCCCCTCAATCCTCTCCCTTGCTGTGATATAAAGATCTACATCCTCTTTGTGCTCTTTTATATGCCAGGGGCTAGGAAAGTTCATCTGTCCCTGATTTCCCAACAGGCTGGGAGGTAGACTTGCAATTCCTGTCTTTGCATCAATCCCAGAAATGCTCATATATTTCAGGAAATTGTAATACTTGCCAAGCAACCAGGCACTGTAGGCAGTGCTGCAGCGACTATCTCTATCTATTGTCACTGCAACAAACCGGCAATGTGGATGTTAATGTCATCTCCGTTTTTGGAGCTCTCGTGGCTTTACAAGGGAAGTGACTTGTCAGCTGTGAGTCAACCCAACTATGAGTGGCTAGGTTAAAATACAACTCCTATCTGAGCTAGGGTCTTAGCACTCCACGCAGTGTAGGATGTGGAAGCAGTGAGTCCCTGGGCTAGTGACACACACCCCCTGTGTGATGTCAGTGGGTTCAGGGCCGGCTCAGTGCCCACACGCCCTCGCCTGTGTGTGAGAAGGGAGGGTGTGGCTCTGTGCTGGGCCTCATGCACGGTCCTGAGAGCCAGGTCGTTGGCTCAGCTCTTGTGAGTCAGAAGCTGAGAAAATCTTCCAGGAATAACTTTGACCCACATCACAGCAGTATTCACAGGGTGCTGCAGAGGAAAACAAATGACAGGGTCCTTTCCCAGCAGAGTCCCAGGGGAGACCCCAATCTCCCCAAGCCCGCTGGGAGCATCCATGTCTTGAGCATTTGAGTTTTAGAAGTCCCCACTTGGGCAGTGGTGGAGCCTGGGTTCCTCCTGATTCCTGGAGAGCGGAAACTACTGTTTGCTTCCAGTGATCTGCAACCAAAGCCTTCTCTCCCCAGGGTGAAAGTTCCTGCTTTGTTCTGTGAAGTTCCCTTTCCAGTCCAGCTTCCTGTGTCGACTTTCTTCCCCAGGCCCTTTTCCCTCACCATGCAACAACCCGCTCCTACCCCAGTCCTTACCCCAGCATCAGCCATCCCTTCCATGCTGTGTTGCTTGGGGTTCTGCCCTGCACCCTTTTTCTTTTGCTGGTGTCTTCACTTCTCATTTATTTATTCATTTACAATACTGATGTATCTGAAAGGCAGAGTGGCAGAGTAGGAGAAGCAGAGCTATTCATCTGCTTGCTCACTCCCCAAGGAACTGCAACAGTCAGGTCTGGGCCAGGCCAAAGCAAGAAGGCTGGAACTCCATCTGGGTCTCCCACAAGGGTGACAGGGGCCCAAGCATTTGAGCCATCTTCCCCTGCCCTCCCAGGTGTATTAGCAGGAAGCTGGATCTGAATTAGAGCAGACAGGACTTGATCTGGTGGTCATATGGGATGTCGACTAATAGCCATTCAGCCTGCTGTACCCACTGTTGCCCCTGCTTTCACTAGCCCTGGACATGACCAGTGCGGGCCAGGAAACTATAGGACTCAAGTTTTAATATAAATTCTCTCTGTGTGTGCATATAGTTCTGTCCTCATTGAAGTCCCTACTTTCTGTTCTGGTGCTCTAGGACTTGGATGGCATTTAAAAAACCATAAAGCAGTTTGGTGGCATAGGATGGGTTCAAGTCGCTGTGCTTTCATTCATGTGACACTGTCTCTTTTGCTTAGGTACACAGATCAGCTGCTTCTCCCCCAGCAATTTCTCCTGGCGTCAGGCTGCCTTTGTGGATTCTTACTGCTGGGCTGCTGTTCAGCAGGACTCCCTGCAGAGCGACTCTGGGAACCTGCCCCTGTGGCTGCACAAGGTAGGAGGATGCGCAGCTGGGGAAGCCAGCCTGTTTGCAGCTGTGCGAAATGAGCCCCAGGGCTGTGTCTGATACTGTACAACCATAGCATGATGGTTAGACCCAACAGGTTGATTATGGCAGACAGGGAAATGGAAGCATTCTTTGGATCTTGCTTATTGTTTTTTATTTTATTTTATTTTAATATTAATTATAAAAATGAGGGAATTGCAGATCCGTGTGGGCTTCTGTTTAGGACAGAGATGATGGAGTGGGTGGAAGTAGGGTGAGGCAAATGTTTCTATGTTCCCTCCTGTGTCCACAGGGGAGTGGGGAGAAAGTGCACCGTTCTGTGCTGTCCGACTATATCAGTGAGGGGTGCCAGAGGTGGTCGTTTCATGTTGCCTTAGAGACCCCAATGGGGAAAGTTGGTTCTCAGGCTATTGTCTGAGTGGTTTTGATTGTCGTTGAACTTGTCAGCATCGTTGTGCCAGAGGTGAGAAGTGTTGTCTGAGGCCTGGTGGCTGTCCATGTCCACAGTGTTTCTTAAGGTGTCCACAGACCCAAGTGCTTACTGTGAAACCTAGCCTGGAGTGTTGCTCATTCTGCCCTTCTTTCTGTCCTTCCAAGGGGTACTCACTGTCTTTTGTTGGCTTAAATGAACCAGCTCTTGTCTTTTGTCCGTATCTGGGTATTCTGTCTCTTCTTGCGTGGGAGTCAGCAACTAAGGCAGCCCAGAACTGCAACATGTGCTCTGGGGTCAGACCACACGTCTGTGTGCTTTTCTCTGAGGTTGGCAACTGAGTATAGACATCTGTTGGGGAGTCCTTACCTGGGAGTACTCAGACCTGGTTCTCATGGGTGCTGGCTGCCCTCGGACCAGGCTCAGTTTGCCCCCTGCACCAGCCCACACCTATACTGGTGGATGCATCTGCCTGGCCAGTCCTTCTTGCAGCTCTGACTCTTGCCTGCACTGACAGATGCTGCAGCCTAGTTGGGGCAACTCTGAAGAATTCCTGCTAGACCCACTCCCAGTTCTGGGGTGCTGCAGCCCAGCTTGGCCCATCCCTCCCTCCCCAAGTCCCAGCTCTCACTGGTGGGTGTTACTCTTTAATGGCAGGCACCTCCTAAGTGTAAATCACCTCTCTGTGCCTAAAGCCTAGCAGGATGTGTGATCCTTTTGTGGGCTCAGTACAATCTGAGAGGGCATGACTAGGAAGGGACACAGCCAGGGCTCAGCATGGCTTCTTGGCTGGTGTCCTCACCGCCACACACAGGGTGTTGGCAAAAGCAGGGACCACGTGGTGTTCAGCCAGTGTGCTGCTAATGCTGAGCACCCTGACAAGGACCCCTTCTTGGGGTGTTGGCTGCAGCACAACTTGGGGAGTCAATTTATTTGTTCTCTAATGGATCCATACACTGCAGTGGAGGCAGATGACTACATATGAGGCCTCATTAACTACGCTGCAGAGCAGTGGCAAGGGTCAGAAATTCTGTGGTCAGGAGTGGTGTGTGTGTGTGTGTACATGTACATGTTTACTCTGTTGCACAGTGACGGGGGTTGGGGGCGTGCCTTGAGGCTGGGCAGTAAGGGATTTGGGCCGCCACTGTTGTTTGTGTGGAAGAAAATCCTTTAAGCAATGGCGTGACTCCATTAGGTCTTCTCTGTGCTCATGAAAATGACTTTGCTACAGCCTTCGGTTTCTTTGTCCATAAATGGAAATTACTGGAGCACGAGTATCTTTTGCACTTGTCATCTGCCTAAGAAAGCCCAGGACTTTATCTGCTAAAAACTAAAGGGCTGAAGTTTGTTGACCCTCTCCTGGCTTGGCCTGCTCCTCAGTTCACAGCATCTTTTTTTTTTTTTTTCTGTCTGCCGTAACCCAGCACATATTCCTTGTGTTAACTTCATGCTGTCTGGCCTGGCGATGCCAGTAGTGACTCCTTTCTGCTTTGGGGTTGGCCTTTGGTAGGAGGATCCTTGTTAGCTTTGCATGGTTAATAGACTAAGGGTCTGCTATATGAATGGGCCCAGTTCTGGAACTTGAACAACTTTGTTGATGGCAACTCATGCTGTTATCATGATAGTCTTGGGGGCCCAGAACGGTAGCCTAGTGGCTGAATCCTCACTTTGCATCTGCAGGGATCCCATATGGGCACCGGTTCAATTCTTGGCTGCTCCACTTCCTGTCCAGCTCCCTGCCTGTGGCCTGGAAGGGCAGTAGAGCATGGCCCAAAGCCTTGGGACCCTGCACCCATGTGGGAGACCTGGAAGAAGCTCTTGGCTTCTCATCAGCTCAGCTCTGGTCGTTGTGGCCACGTGGGGAGAGGATGAAAGAGCTTTCTCTGTTTCTCCTTTTCTCTGTAAATCTGCCTTTCCAGTAAAAGTAAATAAATAAAGCCTTTTTTTGGTTTGTTTTAAAGGAACAATAGTCTTGGAAAATGGAAAAGTTATAATCAGCCTCTGGGCTGCTCCCTGATCTGCAGAAGCACATGTAACCTGGGATTGTCTAATGCAAGCCTTGGCAGGGAGTTGTGAAACTTTTATAGCAGGAAGAAACATGCAAGTTTACATCTAAGAGCATGTCCCGTGTCAGGGGAAGGGGACCTGGGAGTCAGGCCCCAGAGCTGCAGTGCTGGCGGCCAGCTCCACAGAGCAGGGCTCGGCTCTCCGGAGTCCCACCCTGCCTCCCCCCTGGGTGAGGAAGGTGCGATCTGCTGGCGGTGCCTGGTGTGACGTGAGATCTTGGGGCAGCGGTGTCTGTGGTATAGCAGCTCGCCAGAAGCAAGAATAAACCCTCCCATTCAGAACCTGAAATCCTTACTGTGGTTGTTCACATATGGCCATTAGCGCTCACTCAGAAATTACCTAGTGCACAAGGAAACCGGGGAGCCGCCGTTGCCGTGGGCTCGGCCCTTGGGCAGCTGGCTGCTGAGTGGGAAAGCAAGCCTGTGTGATGACAGAAAGCTCGGTGGGAAGGGAGACGGTGGTCATGAGACAGAGCGGACTGTGTGAACTGCAGCTGGGCAGAGCGGGTGAGACCGGGCTTCCTGTATGTAATGACATCCTCAGCCGCCCTGGCAGGAAGGAGCCAGCTGTCCGTGGGCGCAGTGAAGGGGCGGTGGGGAAATGGAGATGATGGGAACAGATGATTTTTCTAGACTGTTTTTATTTTCTTTGTCTTAGAAAATTTCTTTTCTTGGTAACCAGGGATACAATGAGCTCCACATTTGGGTGGCAGCGCAGGTTGAATTGTGTTCCCTAAAAAATCAGGGTCTTAACCCCTGCAGCAAAGATTCTTACTTTGGAAATAGGATTGCTGCTGGTCAAGACAGTGTCCTACAGAGGCAGGCTGGGCTCCTTCTTGAGAAAAGGAACATTTGGACACAGAAATGACAATGTGAAGACCCCTGGGGGTGGGGAGGGTGGCCGTGGGCATGCAGAGGCCTGTGCTGTGGCAGTGCTGCCAAGCTGCAGGATGCCCGGGCCTTCCAGAAGCTGAAAGACAAAGGAAGGATCCACCATGTGGGAGCATGGTCCTCAGACACCCTGACTTTGGATGTCTGGCATCCAAAACTCTCATGAGAAACAAAACTGTGCTGAAGTTGTCCAATGTGGGAGACAGAGACCCAGGTTCCACCCGACCGGAGACAGAGCACCCAGGCCTGGTGTGAACATTAGCCAACTTTTCCAACCCAGACAGACTTAGTCATCACAGACCACGGCTGAGTCATTGCAGTTCTTAGCTGTTGTGCATGGTGCTGCTCTGAGCACCTGTTGGGGTTCCTGCTTGTGGTTCCCAAGAATGCCCGAAGAGGAACTGCTGGGTTCTTTTGAGTTCAGAAAGGTGTTTGGGTTGGCTTCTTTGGCCTCCCCACATTCAGCAGATTGATGGTAGTTGCACTGCCCAGACATCTCCAGGCTCTTCATCTCACAGAGGTGGCTCTCAGGGCCAGAGCAGCTGATGCCTTGCCTGAGAACCCCCAGCTCCCGATGTGGTGAAAAGCCAGAGATTATGCTATGTGCCTTCGGGAGTCTGTACTTTGTCCCGTGGTTAAAAGTTACTGGTTGGTGATCTTTGGCATGGCACAGGAAGGAACCTTCTTTCGGAGGAGCTGTCCAGCAGGGGTGCCTGTGGTTGGCCCACGAGGTCCTTAGTTGCAGGGCATGCTAGAGTTGTCTTCTTCTTTCCATGCCCTTATCCCTCACCTCACTGCCCTTCTTTCCTGCTAAAAACTCAGCTCCATCATCCCCCACTTTGCCTGTTGCTCTTGCCCTCCCAGTCACCCCCTTATTCTTCATGGAGGTGTCAGGTCTTCACCATCCTGGGGACTCCGTGGACATCACTCCTGGCACCGCTGCCGCTGTTGCACCTCCGAGGAGGGTGACCTCCTTTCCCCTTTACACCTACGTTCCCATGGCTGCGGGCTCTGAATTTGTGAGCAGAAGTGAGTCAGGGCACACACACCCCAACCCCCATCACTGAGTGACAGCTTCCATGCCTCCCTGCAGCACCAGCCCTCTCCTCCCCTTCTCACCAAGGATCGGGTCCCCCTGTTCCCTGTCCCTCCTGCCCTCATTCCATTTTGCTCCCCTGCACTGCCAGTGCTCCTCCTGTGGTTTTAACCATTTGTCTCCCCATTGTGGGGAAAGAAAATGAGGCCCTCCCTCCCCTTTGGTATCTCCATCCTTCTCTGGCACCCAGAGGACCGGAGCGTGAACTCATCTGCCTCCCGTCTCCGCAGCCCAGGCTCATGTGGTCACACCCCTCTGGCCCCATCCTGCCCACACTGTGTGACCTCCCTGTCACTCTGTCTTCCCAGGGCTCAGCTTACCTCATTTATCTCCGGTGTCATGTCCCTCTCTATGCAGGTGAGCTTTTCCAAGCTCCTTTGCAGGTGGCTTTTCATTTGTCCTTTGCTTAGAAGTTGGGGGTGTTCAGGGCTTCTGGGCTCAGCTTGCCTTCTCCCTCACACTGTACCCCGTGTCCCTTGGTCATCTCATCTGCCTGCAAGTCTTG